ATTATTCCTGACCTCTGAGGGGCAACATTTTTTTTATCTATAGAATTTCTGGAGAATCATGATTTTAGAAAAGCTCATTTTAAACTAGTTTTTCTTATAAACACTGGTATTTTTTATGGTAATTTAATATGGAAACAGTGATTAAGCATGAGACATTATTCTCCAGTCTGCTTTGCCCTTGTTCAAGGAAATTCTGGTCCTTCTTAGTGATCTTCATGGAAGAAGTAAACAGAACATTTGTAGTATATATTACTGCAGCATATTACATGTCCAAGGGACCTGATTATTTAATAGATGCCTTCCTGTGACATCTTATTAGTCTCAATTTTAAGTTAGCACATTGCTTTGTAGAAGACATGTCAAACCAAAGTAAACCAAAACTCACTGCAGACTAATAGCTTAGTCCTTTCTATGATTTAAAATTGTTAAGTGTTTTTGACAGAGCTCTGTGGGGTTTAAAAGTTTTTTGAAGTTAAATTAAGTAGAAAAATCAGTATAAAAAACTGAAAGTATTCTGTATTACAGGCCCTAATTATGATTTTGGCTTCATTTGTATTTATCAGTGAAAAGGGCACATTTAAATTTGAACCACACAAAATGGTTATCTTCACAGGACAAAATTTCATTTGGTTTCACCTCTTACCCTGTAACTCATTTATTTAAATGTTAGTTCTTACTCTGTTGCTGAAGAACTTAAAATTTCCTTTGCAAAGGAAAAAAAGTTAAGGAGACTGTGGGTCTCAGAGATTGTAATGGGGGGAGCCAGTTATACTAACGTACTTTTTTCCCAACCGTAATTTCTGCTGTTGATAAGCTACCCACTCTATGGTATTTTGTTATAGCAGCCTGCATGGTGTAAGCAGTCACTCTGTCCTCAGCTCTAAATGACTATTTTTGTATTTGTCTATTTTAAACACCATTAACTCCCTGCCAAGGAAGATGACAAATGGGGTATTTATGTACTAAGCCCCACTTCATCCTTCATTTCATAGTTTGTTAGTAATAGTATTATTTTAGTGTTAATAATACATTTAGGATTTACTTAGTTTTTGTATTGGTTATAACTTTAAAGAACATACTTAACCCCCCACTTCCAGCTCCACCATCTTCAAACCCTTTAATTCTTAACAGATACCTCCTTATTTATTATGTAAGAAAAAGAACACTTCTACGTAGATTTCCCTTCAACTTGCTTTCTTCAACCCTTTCTCCTCCACAGACCTCTCTGCCTCTGTCAACTCTACCAACCATTACTTTCTGTTCTATGAATGGTCATTCAGTTGACTCTATTGAAAATCAATAAACTGCAATTATACTATTTTGTGTAAATGGTTTTCATTGTAGAACAAAGTGTATCAGTTAAAAAAGAGAAGGTAAGTCTATATCACTGGACCTGTGCCACTAGAAAGGATGCTCCAGACATCAAGATTATATAATTACATTTCAAACACTCCATTGATTGCTCGAAACAAAACTACATTTTAGTTTGTTTTATATTTGGAATACAGTTTTCTACTGGTTTTAATTGCCTTTAATTTGCCTTCTTAATAAAAGAAGTACATGCCTTCACCATATGACTAAATTTGTCTAGGATCCTAATCCCAGTCTCTGGTACTTTCTAATTGAGACATTCTTTTCCATTCAAAGCCAGTTTGCTCTCTTGGCCTGCTGTATAGCTGTCATTCTAGGCCTTCCTTGCATTTCACTCTTCTATTAGGACTGGTGTTTCCTGGATCCCATATTTTTCTCATTCTTTGATTCCATTTTCTTTTTATTGGTACATCCTTAATAGATTCTTTCAGAAAGCATTTGTGAGAAGTAGACTTTCTGAGTTCTTACATGTATGAACATGTCTTCATTTTACCTTTACAGCTGAGTGACAGCTTAGCTGGGTATGGTAAGCTATGAGCCTCAGAATTTGAAGGCAGTGCTTCACTGCTTCTGGCACTGAGTGTTGTTGATGAGAAGACTGGTACCAATCACATATGTGTTTTCTTGTGGTTGACCTGTTATTTGTTCTCTGGAAGCTTTTAGGATCCTCTCCTAATATTAAATGCACTATAAAATCACAAGGTTATAGTTAAGTTTGGGTTTATTTTTATTTATTGTGCTTGGCACTCAGTAAGCTCTTTCAGTCTGAAGACTCCTATCTTTCCTTAACTCTAGGAAATTTTGTTTATTATTTCTCTGATTATTTTCTCCCTTGCATTTTCTTGTCACCTTCTATTACTATTAGTTGACTATTGTCCCTCTTGCATTGACCCTATATAGTCTCTGGACCTTTAAAAATACTTATTTCTCCTTGACTTTTTGCTTTACACTTTAGGAGAATCTATTGACCTTCTTTTTCAGCCCTTATGTTAATTGTAGAAATAACTATTGTAAATCTCCATATTTCTCTGTCTCTGATTGCTTCATATATATATAAGCTTGTTATTGTTTTATGAATACAATAGCTTCTCAAATTTTCCTGAGGTCTAATTAGAATACAAAAAAAGTGCTCTTATGTTTCCTATGAGGTCAGCTTTTTAAAAAAATAATTATTTTAAAACATTAAATCTCTATATTCTTTTGTTTTTTTTAACTAAGTGAACATAAAAATGTATATCAGGAAAATCACCTATCCTTTGTCCTTGTTTTAAAAAAATGTTCTATTGTGGAAAATTTCAAGGATATACAAAGTAAACAAAGTATAATAAACTCCATGTACCCATCTAGCTTCAATAAATATTATTATTTTGCCATTCTTGTTTCACCTATGCCTCCACCCATACCTGTAAATTTTTATAACCAAGTTATTAATTTAATAATCTTTCACATTGAGTTAGTCATTTGAATTTATTTTTCATTTAGCAAATTATACTGTTAGATCACATCATACTTTTTCATAAAACACCTAACAGTGGATGACAGTATTAAAAATCATAACCATAAAACCCTACCATTTACAGAGCACTCTCTGTGCCAGATACTGTGCTTATGCTTTATAAAAACACTGGTTCATTTAAAATGATCAGTAATACAGGTGTCTGCCCTTTAATCGGCAAAGGATGTAGAGATGCTGTTTGTCAAAGAATCAGTAAAAGCATTCAATATTAAAGTCAATGTGAGGGAAAGGACATTTTCTGTGAAGAGGAGTATGTATTCACAACTGTGTTTCTCTAATACAATAAAATGCCAGCATAATTGTAGTTGCTGCTTGTGCTAAACAACTGTTTCTAAGGAGATCTTAATATCTATCCTCTGAAGGACAATGGCCTTGCAGTGACTTACTACCATAGTCACATCAGTTAGAACACTGTTATAAAAGAAGATGCAGCTCTAACAACTGAAAAACATTTTTCTGAACGTGGTTCTACAATTCAGGAATAAACTAAAAGAGTTTTAGCAAATTAAGAGCCAAAATAGTTCGTTTATGCCTACAGAAAGTAGAAAATGGATTCTGCTGACTGGAGAGTTTACTCAACCAGGGGCCCACAACTGTTTCTCTCATTTTGCCTCTTTCAGCTGTGTGAAGTTTCCCCAGAGCTCTGCCATCAATCACAGGGGAGGCAGTACTGGGTGCGTGTGGAAGGAAGATCATTTCAATCAACCTGCTGTTGTTTGATAGCTTTTTGACCTTGGGCAAGTTACTTAATTTCTTTAAACCTCAGTTTCCTCATTTACAAAATTAGGGAAGCACTACCTCCTTCTTAGAGTATTTGTGAAGATTAAGAAATAAATCACACTAAGCAAGGAGTACAGGGTCTAGGACTTAATTATGTGTAAATGATCATTATTATTTTTCCTTTGGAATTCATAGGTATCCTCTGCAAGCAGGGTGGCCAGATTTAGCAAATAAAAATACAGTTTATCTGGTTAAATTTGAATTTCGTATAGATAAGAATAATTTTTTTAGTCTAAATATGTGCCAAATATTGCATGGAAAATACTTAGACTAAAAAATTATACATTATCTGAAATTCAAGTTTAAGTGGGCAGCCTGTATTTTATCTGGCAAAGCAATTTCTCTTTTAAAAGGGAGACTTAGGTATAGTAAAATAAACCTAAAGGGAATACAGCTGTAGTTAAATTTGTTATTTCATCTGCTTATACTTGGTAGGCCAATATACTCACTATTTTCTCTTTTTAGATAATACTTGAGTATCATGTATCAGGGTAACCAATACTTTTCCCCAAATTGTAATCTATTGGTTCAGTTACCATACTAAACTAGGCATGGGTTTTGAAATGTCTATTGAAATATATTTGTACTTAAATCCTCATTTGGAAAACCACAAAGCACAGCTTATGAAAGTCATATTAATGATCAGTAAAAATATACAAACTACAAATCTCTGACAGCATTCAACATCCCTGGAGCACTATTTCTTGTTTTCTTTGTGTGTGCCAGGTATTTTTCAAAGTGTGCTCATTATTAACACATACACAAAATAAATAAAGTAGATGGGCTCTGTATTTTATTCCAGACTCTATATCTTCCCTCTCATCTAAACTAAAAAGCCCATAATCAACTCTACCAGTATTTTGGCTCTCCTCTAATAACTAGTTCGATTTTTAGTGAGATAAAAATAGTTTACTTCCATTCCTCAGTTCCGCTTTAACTTTATGAAAGAAAGAAATACATTCTATTCTGTTTGCACGGTGTTTGGTATTTCTAATACAGTACTAATTTCATGCGAAATTTTGCAAAATGCTTCTACAAATCTTTCCAGTTCATTGTCTTAAAAAATTGGATTTTGGTTAGGATTCCCAAGGTCATAATTATAAATTTAGCTGAGGAGCAGAGGGAAAAAAATAATCACTTCATAATAATATATTCTTCTCTTTTCTATTTGTGGGAGGCCTAATTAATAATTGCTTGCTTTATAAGCAAAGTGAGGAAAGAAGAGAAATGCCAGAATTTCGGTATCCCTATACTCCTGAAAAGCACTTGCAGGCTGTTAAACTTCCAGATGGATTATAATGCATCATTCTCAAACAACAATAAGTGTGCTACATTTCTTCGTTCATAATTTTTTTATTTTCTAACAAAACAGAGGCAGTGCTCCATTTCTTTTCTCTAAAATCGCACCTTTTGCCCCAGCTCCTGTTGTCTTTTCGTCCCCTCGTAATAGTCATAGAGCACTGTGCTCTTCAGCTCCACCTCGTGTAGGAAATCGTCGACTGCACCCGAGGAGCTCCGACCAAGGTGAGCATCCGCCACAGTGGGAAAGATGAACAGCCCGGAGCATTACTTAAGCGTCAGTCCTAAACGAAAAATTGATTTCCTGTGGATTAAGAGTCTGAGTGAGAAAAAAGCAGAAAAAAGGAACCTTCAGGAAAGCACTGATAAATTCAACAGAATCTAGGAAAAAATAGACTCCATTTAATTAATGCAGGCATATTTAGAAAGGAATGCCCAATGGCCCGAGATTTCTGCCTAATCTTCATAAGAGGTAAGGAAGGGCATTCTCTGAGAAGCAGAATGTGACACACTACACACCCTCAGAGAGACTACAGCCGGCTTTCGTCACGTCAGAGCCCAAAGGAGAACGCCTGCAGACGGCCTGGGAGGCAGCTCGGGGAGAGGGTGCTGAAGGCCCCTCCGCTGGGAAGGCGACGAAAGCAGACCCGAGTCGTTTCTGTGCTTTCCTCGTCCGGGAGCTGAAGGGACGCCGGGCCCCGGCTGCCCGCGCATCGCTACAGAGTCCTTCTCCTGAGAAACCTGACGGTCAGGGACGCCGACGTTTTGCTTGTTATTATAAACTCCCTTCTTATTAAGCCTTCGGGACCTTTAAAGTTGCTGCGCTTAGTCTCTGCTTCCTCTCACCAAGGTAGAAGGAGCCTGGTCGTCTCCAAGCCGGCCGGGAGCCGCGGGGCGGGGCCGGGGGCGGGGCGTCCTCGGCGTATCGGGCTGCGCCGGGCCCGGGCGGGAGGCGGTGGCGGCGGCGGCGGCGGCGGCGGCGCGGACCGAGCGGCGCGGGGATTGGCTGCTGCGAGCAGAGACGTCAGGCTCCCGCGGCCCGAGCGGCCGCCCGGCGCGGCGCGGCGCAGTCGGCTGGAAGGCGCACCGCAGCGAGGAGCTGTCTTCGGCCGTCCCGCCTTCCGCCGCCGCCGTCGCCGGGCTGAGCCGCTCTAGCCGGGACGCGCCTCCGCGCTGCTCCCCGCCTCCACCCACGCGGCTGCCGCTCCCCTCGCCGTCTGCACACACACCATGACGAAGAAAGAGAAGAAGTCCTTGCACCAGATCCTGGCCGAGTGGAAGCTCTTCCTCTACAACCCGACCACCGGGGAGTTCCTGGGGCGCACTGCCAAGAGCTGGGGTGAGCGGGCGGCCGTGGGGCGCCGGGGTCGGCCGCGGCCCGGGGGGGGCGCCGGGCGGGGTCGGGCAGGAAAGGAAAGGCGGGAGGCGGCTCCGCGCGCGGGGCCCCGGGAGCACTGCAGCCTCCGCTGTCCGCAGCGGTTTTCGTCCTTGGCCTCCGGTCTAACGCGGGCGGCGGCGGCGGAGGAGGAGAAGTGGCGCGGAGCCATTCATTTCTTGCGGGCGGGCGGGTCGCTGCTTGCTTGGGAGACCGCGGGGCCCGCGGGCAGCCTGCGCTGGCCCCTTCCTCCGGGCAGGGAGCGGGACGCACGTGCTGCCCAGGCCTGCCGCCCACAGCGGCGCCGGAAGCCGGGAACCCTTACCCGGAGCGGAGCTCCCGGGCTGCCTTTGTATGGAGCGGCCGGCCGGCCGAGGCCTGGCGGAGGCGGCCGGCGGCGCCGAGCGGTTCGGGGAAGCCAGACCCTGCCCCGCGCCCGGGGAGAGGAAATTTCCACTCCCTCCGCTATCTTGTGACTCGTCCACGCTGCCACCAGTCGGAAGAGTGCAAGTGAGTGCTAAGTGTGTGGGTTGCATGAATGTGCAGCGATGAGTTAATCACACGAGTACGTGGTACACGAAGTACATTTAAATTTGGACCCTGGAAAGACCTTTTCAGCGAGGTTGGTTCCTCCGTAATATTTCTAATTTCAGAGGTTTTCTTAAAACTACGCTGCTTTCGGGGAAAGTAAATCCTGTCTGAATGGCAGTTTTTTTCCATGCTTCCAAAATGTGTAATGATTGGCTGTTAGCAGTTTTTCTGTGCATGAAATCTTTGTTTTAAAAGAAGTATTTAAACCACCAGCGTAGTGTTGCTTTAGGATGCCTCTTTTTTCTTTAAATTTGTGTTTATAAGGACTAGTGTTTTTTGCCTTTATACTTAAACCAATTGGCTTTTCCCCTTTCTGAGAATAAATACATTTCTAGATTTGAGAACTATTTGGGCACATTTTTAAGAGAAAGGTAAAGAAAGTCAATTAGCTACGACTCAGAGGATAAGTTGCTGGCTGCTAACTGGCATCGGCTTCTCCGTAGTGGAAAGGCAGCTTAAAGCCCTATCACAAGTTCAAAGGGGCCTTTGGAGGTTTTCTTAACCCATCCCCTCCTTTAGAGATGAGAAAAATGAGCTCCAGAGACGTTGTGATTTTGCTTCGCGTAAAATTACAGATTCCACAAAGCCAAGAAAAGAACCCAGTTGTCCTTTAATCCTAGTCCAGCGGTTTTATACAGCTACTTTGCCTAACTGCATGGAATCACTCACAGTTTTATTTATTGTATATGGTAGTGTTTTGGGAACCCACTAGTGTGAGGAGGAAATAAATCTTGCATCCAGAATTAAATGGGGAAAAAATGGAGAACAATTATTATTGTTTTCTAGAGTGTACTGACCTTTTGCTGACAGAATTTTTGAGTGGTAGAAAGAGACTTAATTTTTCTTGACGAATGTCCTCAGTGCCTTCTCATTTCTTGTAGTAAGTACCTTCACTTTGTTGTTAGAATGCAGGTAGTGTCTCTTATATAACCTTTGTACCACATGACGTTGGGGTAGAGATTTAATTTCATTTATGCATTTAAATAGTTAATATGTGCACACATTATCAAAGTATAAGACATTATATAAGGGCAGTAGAAGTAGTAAAGTTGGAATTAGTTTTAGAAGGAGTAACATATTTTTTCAAAATTGCAAATAAGTATTGTTCTTATCAACAAATAGCAACATTTCTGTTTATTGTAGTAAAAGTAAGCCAGTGCATAAGGGCATAAATAGGTAAAAATTATCCATAATTCTACCCGAACATAAGGGCATCCCTCCAAGGATATTTGGAGGAGTGGTGTGTGGAAGCTCAGATCACTTCTCAGCTCATTAGACTGTACCCTGAGCATGGGGGTCTTCCTGGAGAAGAGGTGTCTTCTAATTCTCAGAAAGACACTAGCTGCCTGATCTCATCACTACAGAGATGTCCACTGTTAATATTTTGGCATATATCTGGGCAGACTTAAGAAATGTGTATAATGTTACTATTTTTTTTTTTGACCAAAAGAGATCATACAGTAAGTGTTGCTTTTGAATAGATTTTGGGCATCTTCCCATGTTATAACGATTCATATTTAATTACCTCTTGTGATTTTCACAACCTTCTAAAGCATACTATGTAGGTGGTCAAAGTGCCTGGTGCTGGCTTTTCAAGCTGAATAGTAAGGCCACATCAGCAATAAGTAGTTATCAGTTATGAAACACAGGACAAAGAAAATTTAGCACCCTGTGGCTGAGGTTGGAAATATTAAGCCTAAATGCATTAAATACAATTACAGTGCAAGTGCAAGGTTACTTCGAAATCTTTTAGTAGGCAATGTGTTGCAATTAATATGAAATAGAATAGTAAAAACATCAGAGTTTATCAAACTACTTAATCTTTTTTTTTCTGAAGAAATGTTTTATGACACTTTTCTGTATTTTTGTATATATAGATACCCTGATGTAAAGTGTATTTCTTACTGGGGGTCACAGTCAAAAAAGCTTGAAAGCCACTCATTCAGCACTATGCCCTCATTTCGTAGGTGAGAAAATTGAACCCACAGGTCTGATTTGTCAAAATTTACTTGGTTTGTGATAGAATCTTTGACCTTCAGACTCCCTCTAAAGGCCAGAGCTTTTTTTTTCTTCATTATGCCATGACATGATGTTATTTAATGACATCTGCTGGTGGGCTTCTTTTGGAGTTCATTAACTTAAGGTTATCTGTCAATAGATGCTTTATATTAGTATGAACTTAAAGCTTGAGTTACTGATTTTCAAGCATAGTCAGGGTTAAACCATTGGCCCCTACATATTGTTCATACGCCTTTTCTTTTTTATAGGTCCATGAAGTGCTATTTTCTCAGTCACCTGCTTCCATTCTGGGTCATGCCTCAGTAAATACTCTGCTTTGGAGATCAGACTCCATCCTATCTTGGGTGGCTGACTGTAGGGGAGAAGGCAAGTGTGCTTATTTTCCCAGTATCACATAATTTTGTAAAGTGTTGTCTTTTTGTCCTGTGGAGTGTGGCATTTTAAAGAAACTTTACAAAAATGTGCATCATTGGGAAACTAACAGGGCTTGCCTCACCCTGTGTGCAGGCTCTAAATGAAGGTCAGTGGTGGGTGTGGCGGCGACACGAGCAGAGGCTTACTGAGCCATCACCCAGTAGGAGGCAGCACTTCCGGGACTGTTGTGGAAGGGAGGGTGAGGGTAAGTTTCTGTGTTGTGGTCCAGATACCATTTAATTGCGGTAGTATGTGCTTCACTGTTGTTAGAATAACCTGCCCCATCCCCAAAATAATTTGATTTCTTTGAAATTGACTTGAATGTATAGCTATGAAATTAAATCATTTGTATTAAAAGAAGTTTAAAAGCTCTTCTATCTTTAGTAACAACTTTTCTATGATTTATCAGCATGTTTGATTAAAGACCAATTACTTAACACTGGTTGTGTAAGAGAAGGAGAAGCCATTTAACTTTGGAAGATAAATTTAATGTTTAATGGTAAATTTTAAGTTTAATTTAGTTTTAAGCTAATAATTATTTTCTAATTATCCATTATATTGTTGTTGAAGTAAAATCACCCATCATCTTTAACCACTTAGAATAACCACTTAACATTTTAATTGTCTTTTTCTATGTATACATACTTTTTAAAATATAAAAATGTAAATATACAGTTAGATACCTAGTTTTATCACTTCACATTTAATAGGAATGGTTTTTATTCCTCTGCCACCTTTTAGGGGTTGGTAAGTTGCGGGGATCCGTGGCCCTCTCCATCACCCCTGTGGGGACTGACGCATCTCCTGCTAGAACTTATGTACTCTGGTGGCTTTAGTTCTTGTCTCTATGTTGGGATTCCTAAATCTGCATCTCAAGTTCAGATGGCTTTTATATAGTACTATAACAAACTGCCTGTCAGAAATCTTCTGTTGGATCTGTAGGTACTTCATGTAAATCTCCACATACAAACTCTATAATCTTGCTGGCTTATTTCTGTCCTGTCTTCTCTCTTTACATTCCACACACTTCTCTTCCCCACTTCCTAGGCCTGTTTTCTGGCTTCTGAGCCCCTTTCCTTCATTTTGGCCTGGCTATTCAGATGTCGACTTTGATAGCCCCATCCTCTGTAAACATTCTGAAACCCTCCTTGCCTTAAGGACTGGGTCAGGTCCTTCTTTGTATCCCATAGTGCCTTTTCTTTTATAGCATTACTGACTTTATGTAGTATTGTTACTTGTGTTTTAGTCTGTCAGCTCCTTCCTCACCTCTTACTGGTCTTTGATTCCCCAGCACCTCGCCTGTCACCTGGCACTGAGAAGGAATGTAAAAAGAATTGGTTGAATGAGCAATATTATGAAACGTTCCCATGTAATTAGTGTTTTGCAACATTGTTTTTAATGTCTTTGATGGTATTAGTGTTTCCTGGTGTAACGGTTCCTCCAGTGTTTGGCCATTTTCCTTTTTTTTTTTTGGATAGCCTTGCAGGTTTTCATAGATGTTCAGT